GATGGAAGCTTTAGGCCTTGTGCTCACTGCTGGCTCCTGGCAGGAATGGAGCCTTTCTAGAGAGAATGGGTTTGAGGCCGGAGGGAACAGAGCCTTTGGTCAGTAGCGCCGGAGTGCAGCAGGGCGCCCGCGGAGATGAGGCCCTTCTGAACTTGCCACCCAGATGGAGGAGGGCGCCTGCCGGAGATTCCCAGGGGAAAGCCAGTGTATGCAAAGTCAAGGCAGCAGGAAGTGCAGCCGGCTGCTGGCCTCAGCAGCTTCCTAGCTCAGAAAGCTGCTCCGTTGGAGCAAATGAGGAAGTTTCACTCCCACCCTAGTCCAAGGTTTTAGAGTTCGCTGCAATCACGTTCAAGTGGAATTAAAAGCCTACTCGAAGTTTGGTGAAGAGCAGTGAGGTCTTTTTTTCTGTGGTTGCCAAATGATCCTTTATTGAAGCATTTTCCCTCGTAGTGCTCACCTAGCTGGGCAGCCCACCCCTGCTGACATCATCTATGGTGTCACGAGGCCCTCGACATGGCCGCTCCCACGGGGCAGTCTCCAGGATCTCAACGGTTCCATTGAGTTCTCTAGCTGAAGGCTGGTGCCGTATGCTGGGCACTGTTGACAAGCTCGTCAAAAGGGAGTATCCTGACCGTGCTTCAGGTCTTCCTGGTCTCCCGGCAGTTCCTTGGGGGCTCTGATCAGGGCAGCGGCAGAAGGTACGCCCGGGATCAGGGGCCTGTCCCCAACAGTTTTACTGTCCTCCTCAGGCCCTTCCGATCACTGGCCGCCTCGGCAACGTTATCACTGTTTCTCGTGACAGTGGGGCCAACTGACAGCAGGCGGGGGTGGATGTGTTATCCCCACCGGGCACATCGGGTATAGGATTTTGATCTCACTGGGGTTGAACTTGAGGCAGCATGGCGGAAGCGGCAGGTGCGGGATGAAACCCGATCTGGAGGAAGGTGCACAGGGGGCCTCCTACTGAGCAAAGAGCCAGAAGTGAGAGCGGGGAGTTCTCTCAAAACGAAAACACAGAGCAGCTGACAGATTGGGTCTCCCGAGAAGGTGGTCCAAAGACTCTCATACCGGGAAACATTTTTTGCTCTTGCCCGGGAGCCGGTGTTCTCTCCATCCAGCTGGTTTCTGGCGGAGATTAGAGGGCGAAGAGCGAAACAGCACAGGAAATTACCCGAACCTCTGGAGTCGGTGCCCTTCTGGATGGGGAAGCACCCCACCCCCCAACCCTTTCAGCTGGCGTGGGGCGACAGCGCCACCTAGTGACTGAAGCATGGACGTCACCCAGGGCAGCCTCATTACAAAGAGGCTCTGGTTCCCAGTCAGCTCACACTCCCACCTCTCCAGCACTCCAGGTGGGAACCCTGCGGGACCTCGGCCTCAAAGTCATTTGGCAAAACAAAATTACAAGGACATAACGACGTATAACCACGCCCGACTGGCTTGTTTTATTGGAGAAGGGACGTGGAGTTAACAACGTGAAGACAGTTGGGAGCTGAGGTCGGGAAGAACACCCTCCCCTCCCCGTACGTGCCCACTGCCCCAAATAAAAAATAACCAACTATGGGAGAGCAGCCGAGACAGCGACTGAGGGTGGGGAAGGGAACACGGAACCCGAGGGCGGCAGAAGAGACCATGCGTGTGCTGGGAGGGCCCAGAGGCAGCGGCGGTGCGAGTAACGTGAGTACGAGTCTCTGTGTCTTCCACGTGGGTCTATATAAATATAGAGACAGAAGTCGTTCGCTTTCCCCTGCTCTCCCCTCTGCTCGGCGCGGCTGGCCGCGGTCCCGGCTCCTCTTTCCACATGAGGGCGAAGGGAAGGGGATGATGAGGAAGTCATCACCGAATTGCGATCAGACCCACATCCATCAGCTTCTGGATCTTCTGTGCTATTACAGGATTCTTTAAGTGTCTGATGGGGAAAAAAAAACAAGTGAAATGAGACTTGACCTGAAAAGGGCTTTCTGCTCTCAAAACCACCTCCATGCGACCCCCCCCCC